TATTGAGCTGGTTTGAACTTTGATCATTGACAAAATTGTTGAAGGAGCATCTTAATTTTATACTTAGAAGCCAATTTATATTTATTTGGATGTTGTGGGCATATGGAGGCATTAACGCCATGGTTTTACATTTTGAAAAATTTTGTATGAATTCTTTTCTACTGCAACAATTATTTTGATTTTGCTACAACTTTTGATGGCATTCTTCCAATTTGTTATCTGTCTCAGATCCCAGAAGAAGAGAAAAAGCAAGGTCCCAATGACCGCTTGATTCATGTTTACCATTTCACAAAAGAGAGTGCACAGAATCAAATGGTATTTTAGGATTATCAATATTTTTATTTTTCACTAGTGCAGTGGCTGTTTGTGGGTAGAACTTCAGTTATCAAATAAATATGAGCTTGATACCAATATATATATTTAAAATGTTATTCATAGCAAATCCAGAATTTTGGGGAACCCTTCTTTTTGGTCGTTCATGAAGGCGAAACTTTAGCGGATGTTAAAGTGCAGATTCAGAAGAAATTGCAGGTTCCAGACGAGGAGTTTTCTAAGGTATGTTATGTTATCCTGTTTACTTGAATACTACATATACTTTTCAGTACAATCATGTAGCACTTGGTAAAAGTTTTAGCACTTGGTAAAAGTTTTCATGCTGCATAATCACTTGATCCTTTATTTTGTTGATGTTTAGTGGAAATTTGCATTTATGTCACTGGGACGTCCAGAGTATCTTCAGGACTCAGATATTGTATCCAGCCGTTTTCAGGTCATTACTTTCAGTACTAAGTTGTTTATCTTGTTCATTTTCTCTCAAATCCTTATTAAAATTGGGGGAAAATGTGTATTCTTTTTCAGAGGAGAGACGTATATGGTGCTTGGGAGCAGTATCTTGGTTTGGAACACACTGATACTACTCCTAAGAGGACTTATGCTGCAAACCAGGTATATTTCTTTCATTGCCATCGTAACATACAATTTGACGCTTGTACAGGTTTATTAAATCAAAAATCTCTTCGGCTAAAAAAATGGTTATCCTTTTAATATCATGTTTCAACGCCGTTCTTTTATTGGCATTTTGTGGTGATTGCAGAACCGCTACACCTTTGAGAAGCCTGTTAAAATATACAATTAGGAGGAATTGGTTCATGCTCTCATCTCAGATGCCTCCTAAACCACAAAGAAAATGTTAAAATTTAGAAAATATGGGACTCGGAGATGAGAATGCAAGGCAGAGTATATGAAGCTGGTTTTTTCGCTTCGAATTTGGATGGTTTGGCAGTTTCATATGTATACGACATGGAGATAAATCCTGTATAATGTCATACATAATAACAAGGTTTTGTTGTAAAGATGGTATTATATAGTTTCTATAATCTTTAATCTCTTCTCTGTTGTTATATACACAGAAGAGGATAGAACCGTAAAAGAAACGGCTATGGTGCTGTAATTTTTTAGTGAGATCGATCTATCTCATGATTTAGTATTTCCACCAGAAAGTGAATTTCGTAATTTTGATTTTTGCAGTATACCTACTGGAGTAGAAGCTCTCTTTTTTTCTCTTGTTCTGTATGGATGTTATGTTCGACTGTAAATTGACAGTTTGAGACGTCATTAGAAACGCAACCAATTTAGAATAATTCCAACAATTTCTTTAATCGATACAAATTGTGACCCCGATATTGAAACCAAGCCAATTTTGGGGCCGCTTTATGATAATGAAACCAAACAGCAAAATGCATTAACGCTGCAAAGACCAATGCATTGATTGCGGTACAATAAAGTTGTAATTCACTAGTTGAACTTGTGAAGATTCAACGCCAGTTCTACGAGTTAAAAATGTCAGTTACTCCGTTCGTGCACAAAAATGTCAGCAAAATCTACATCCAAAGTAGATTTTGGGACTTGGAAATCAACTGGTATGAATGATGGATAGAGAGTTATTGCAACCAAACGTGCTCATTATCAAGATGACTGAAAAGTAAAAAGCTATTTAGTAGTATAGGTCGCTAGAGATGGGTGATTGCTTTATTTTTGGGATGCAGTGGTGTCGAGAAAATAACAAATGAAGTGCAGAAAGTATTTCGAAATAGTTCTCGTTTGAAATTTCCGTAACAACTTAAAGAGTGACAATATATAAAAAAACTAATACTTTGTTACCAAAAGCGCCTGTAGCTCAGTGGATAGAGCGTCTGTTTCCTAAGCAGAAAGTCGTAGGTTCGACCCCTACCTGGCGCGTTCAAATTTTATTTCTTCTTTTTTGGATCACTCTTGATTTCCTATTTAATATGTAATAATCATTAATTTTACCACTATTATTGTTTTATACCTTTTTTTTGGTGATAAAATTATTGTTTTGTACTTTTCTAAATACTAGTTTTCCACCCGTGCAATACACAAGTTATGTCATTTTTTAGGTAATATTAATGTGTCAAAATATCTATTTATTTCTCTCAATAAATTTACAAATGTGATTAATTATTTAAAATGATAAATGGAAATGTAATTTTCATATATGACACATTTTTTGACATTAAAAAAAATTAAAAATTTTATTAGGAAATTTCTAAATGACGTAAAAAAATTTATTAGATTATTTAAAAAATTAATTGATCGAGAGAAAAAAGTAACAATAAGAAAAAAAATTCTAAAAATGATCGAATTTCTTTTATATATAAATTTTTTTCAAATGCTAAAATAATTAAGATGAAAAATTAGTTGGCCTCAATTTTGTGTTGCTATAATTGAAATGTATTTTCTGGAGATATAATAAATGTTTCCTTGATGCATGGATTAAAAACCCAAATTATTGGAGCCCATAATTTATATATCAAATATTATTTTAGTCTGAATGGTTATTTTATATATAAATGACGTATTTGATGATAACTATATTCAACATAATTAAATCGTATAATTAATCAAATCTTTTTTTATTGTCCAATATCCAATCGATTTAATGAAATTTTTTTTATTTACGTGTAGTATTATTTTATGGAATATTCTGCGATTAAAAATAAAAGAGAGAAAAATGTGGAAAAAATTAATGGAGCCAAACACAAGTTAAGCTACAGTATAATATTTTGTCACTTAAATAGGGTTGAGATTTTTATTTAATCGTCCAATTTTTGATATATTTGAATTTAATCCTCCAAAATTTATAGACATCGAAAATATTCAACATTGTCAAATAAATTAATAGACATCTTTGCGATTGAGTATTAAATTTTTTCAACATTGTGTTAAGTTTTACTTTGATTTATCGCAACTGCTTTTACGAAATAAATAATATACATGATTCTAGGAAAATGATGTAAATTATATTGAGAAAATTGTCACGAAAAAATAATAAACATTAATAAAATAATTAATTTTTAAAAAAAAAAGCATTTTTAACATACACGTTTAATGTACGTTTAACTATTTTTTATATTCATTTAGATTATTGGATGTGTCTTCAATATAGTTCTTGAAATGAATTTAGAAAGAATATAGAAAATTTATATAAAAAGCGCTAAATAATCACCCAGTGAAAAAAAAAAATTGACACTAAGCACCGTTTAAATAATAATAAGAAAAATGCACGACATACCATCACGGAGCAATTGTGAGCATCGCTCCGTGATGCACGGAGCAAAAGTATGTTTTTTTTTTTTTTTTTTTAAAATATGCTCCGTGTCAATTTTTTTATTCATTAGGTGATTACTATTTTTTTTGTCAATTTTTTTTTTCACTGAGTGATTTATTTATTTTTTTAAAAGAAATTTACCATAAATCTTTTATATTTTTTTTGAAACTCATTTTTTTTCAATATAATTTACATCATTTTTAAAAAATATATATATATTATGTGGTATGACGTCAACTATTTTTTTTGAACATAAAAATTCAAATCAGACAAAACAACAGTACCACACACACGTAGAAAGACCATTAGTAATGATTTCAGAAGTGAAGTTGAATATTATGGGGTATTCAAAGTAAAATTAGGTATAACAGAGTTTCGTTTTCTTTTGAAAAGAGAATGAATCCAAGCCTTTACCTAACATACAATTTTTGACTTTGTCATGAGAGATATTTTGTCTAAATTCAAAAAGGCCATTAAACCTTTAGTGTAATAGTTACTGTGCGAGGGAGTTGAGAGTAAAATTGAAACATTAAAATATGTCCTGAGTGAACAGTAAACGGCCGATTCCCTCTTTTAAGATAGTAGTGATAGATATAATATAAATAAAATAAAAAAGAGAGTAGGAATTTACCAAAAATGTAAGGGTAAAATGGAAAAACAGAAAATACTCCATGAATGAATGGTAACTTGCACATTCTCTCTTTTAATAGTAGAGGGATATTCATAATACAATTTTCTTATTTTATTTATTACATCACATTTAAGGTCCTCAACCATTATTTATTGTAAATTTATGTTCCTAATATTGTTACGTTGAATTTTCATCTTCAAACTTTCATTAAATAACACTTCTCATCCTTGATGACAATTTTTATCAAAATATATTTTTAGGTCTTTGAAATGAAGAATTTTTTTTTTTTTTTTTATCTCAGTTTTGCATTCTTTGTTTTTCAAAAAAATAGACGGACAAAAAAGGTCTTTATAAGATCTCTCAACGGATTTAACCGAGATGTGATAATTATTGAAAGGCTGATAAAATGCATCTATAAAAAGTTGACATAAATACTATAAAGAGCAAAGATTGAAATTTTTTAGTACAATTAAGATGTAAATCAAAACTAATAAAAACTGTGATATGAATACATCATTCATACATTTGGAAAAAATAAATGAATTAACAATTCTCTCATACTCCCCTGGCTTTGAGATATTGAATAATTTTTGCAGATAGGGGATTATATGGTATTATATGTAAAGAGGATATAATTAGGCTTTTTCATACTCTCTCTCTCCCCTAATTCTTTTTCTTTCTACTCACCTTATTGTGGTTGCAAATGTTACGCCCTAATAACGGAATCACAAAGTAGACACGTTAACACGTAATTTTTCAAAATATAATTTCAAAGGACGATAATTCTTTCATATTTGTATCACGATCAATGATCATGTCGACAAAACTTTCAAGAAAAGCACGCCGAAAGGACAAAAAAGGAGCTATATTTACAGTTCTAAACATGTTAAAAACATAATTTTTATGAACATGAGAAAAGACTATCCACGGGTTAATTCACCTTTTAGAGCACAGGCAGCCCTTTGAATGGCCCTAGCAACTCTCCAGATCTCATGCCGTATGGCTGCCTGCCTTTCTTCCTCATCTAGTCTCGTGCTTTGAGATGTTGCGTCAATTATTCCGGGAAAGAACTCAACCTTGCTTCCGGTGTCACCATGGGGCCCATATATCTGCATTGAACAGGTCGAAAATTCAGAGTTAGTATTGACTAAGGCCTACTTCTAACGAAGTACAATCTCAATATTTCAACTCTTTCAACACGAGATACTTCTTAAATACGAAATACATAGACAATTTTAAACTCAATTTAATCACACATTTCATGGAATCCATAATTTTCTAACCACACATTTTATCAACTTTTATCAAAATCTAATAAACTAGAGAAAACACAATTCAACTAGGTTAAAATATAAAAGTGCACACAGAACTAAATGAGTACGCTTACAAGATGCTTGCACCATGGCCTTCCTTGAAGGCCATCCGAGTCTAAGAAGCCTCTTTCAGCAAGCATTAATCGATCATTTAACATGCGTTTTCTCAAAACCAAAGATTCGTCCACGTTTTCATTCTCTCTCAGTTCCTGCAGTTATAAAAATTAAATTAATGAGAAGCATCGAATCATTTTCCATGCATCCTTTATAACTCCTTTCCATTTTTCCTTCATCGGTGATTATTCACTTTATATAAAGAAGATTTAGCCTCTTTATTTTTACTACTGAGGGTCTATTCAATTTACTAACATGCCACAACTGTGTTATGTTTTACTTTTCTATTCTGTGATATGGGAACTTTCAACAAGTTAACCTTGGAGTCCTCCTCGGTTTTATTAGCAGCGGCTGTGAATTCTTTGATGGCAGCATCAATTGGATGTAATGAGATTCTCCCTTCCAACAAATTATTCAACAGAGTTTTATACTCCTGTAGAAAACATCAAGTAAACCACCAGAACTGAAAAAAAAAAAAAAAAAAAAAAAAAAAAAAAAAAAAAAAGGGAGAGAGAGAGAGATGGAATGAACGTTCTGAAATTACCTTAAAACATAAATGTTTAACCATCGGGAAACTTTATAAGATATATTTCTATGAAGCAACTAATAGTATTGCGTTAGGTTATCAGAGAAAATAACAAAGCGGTGTGCAAAGTAGAATTCCTATATGTATAACACATAAATAGAGAAAAACCGGTGCCTATGCAAAGTAGCATGTTATTGACAGCATATTAATGACCCAAAAGATTTAGAAATTGAACATTGGCATAAAAGCGTTTCCAAATACTTGAGATTTTCACCAACTTTCAAGTGAAAATTGATTATGACTAGCATGTCAAAATCCAACAATATGATTTTAACAGTCGATTCTTGCACATATTGCAAACAGTAATTTGTTTTTCCTAAAAATTTAAAGAAATCGAATGACAATCACAGAAAAATTATCTACCAGCAATTCAGCAGCGTAAGAGAGATAGTTAAAAGGTAGAACTGGATCATCAGCCAGATGAAGCGCAAGAAGTCCCCACACGCCCGTCACTGAAACAAATAAAGGAAAAGAGCCATGAAATCTCAAGAACCCGAGACCATACTAGAAAATAATAAATAATCAAACCTAGGGTAAACAAACAATTTCAAAGCAGGAACAAAATAAAACCAAAAGCTACCTGCTATGTGCCTCTGAAATGATGGATCGCCAAAGTTCGTCATCCAATTATAGGAGTCATAAACTGTGTGGTAGACTGGAAAGTCTGCATGAAAATGAAAACTATTTTACAAAATTCATTAGCACAAAAACTACTCTTTAACGAAAGTTACATGCAGAGCAAGGTTCAAGTTAAAAATCTCTCTTTTTAAATTTTTATAGGTTCTTGCCAAAAAGTGATTGTGATAAATTCATTAAAGTGGAAGAGAAGTACCGCTGCCATAATATAAATCAATAGAAGGAACCCCAGCATTTTGCAAAAAAGGAGCAAAATCTGAATCAATTCCACTGAGTCTCTGGATCTGCTGCCCAAACAATTAAATAATAATCACCCCAATATTCTCGAGGACTTAAATTTGCATTGAAATCTAATTACAGTAAGTAGCATGAAATATACGTTTAACTTTGATAGCTATGAATGATGGATCAACGACTAAACAAAGAGACAAATTGCTATTCATTAGTTCATTGTCAACTACGTGTATGTTTTTTGTACACAATATTACATACCTTTCACTGCATGAGTCTCTTAGAGAAGTATAGATGACACGGATACTGGTCCTCTTATTTGGAATAAACTCATTGTGAAATATATAATTTTCCTCCTGAACTGATTATTTTATTCATTTCATGTTATCCCTGAGAATTCTTTCCTTTTCAAGGACAAATCATAAATCATCGAAAAAACACATGATGCTTACATGATCCTTAAGACAGAGAAGGTCGTGCATTAGCATACACAACCGCACAGAGGGATGGATGCTGCATAAACATTTGATTAGCAACACCAAGGATGTCATAAAATGAACTTACATTGATACCTTTCTTGGCAGATCTCCACCGTTCGTACAAAATTACGTTGTTCAAGTCGGGATCCTTAACCTGATTAGGCATGCAAAAAATTTGCAATATAAAAGTAACATTTAAGACAATCATAATAACCACTGCCTAGAATGCACAAACCGAAGAAGTGTCAGTTAAGATTTTATTTGCTCGTTGATGTTGCCTTATGTACCTTCTTTGTCACTTCAACAAGAAGATCATCTAGCTGAGGAGTTGCCCTAGCGAAAAACCCAGGCCCTTGAACTGCACAATCCACATTAAGGTAGGCTACAGATTTAGAGCCAAGATTCACGAGGTTTTGCTCAACCCATTCTGTAGATCCAATCTGAAACCATGCGAAGAGAATGAGCAAGTTGATTTCGGGTTTCAAAGAAGAAGCCTATACATTGTTGGGCCCTTTAAAAAAGCTGCAATGTATATTTGAGCATGGAGGGAAAAAATGGACAAACAACAACTAAGAAGAACACAAGCACGGGGCATTTTCCAGAGAATTTATAACATTTTTAAGTACTGACAGTAATGGGTCATTGAATCAAATGAACCTCTATTATGTTAAGATGTTCTTATTGCATAACATGGTTTCCGCATGCAAATGTGAAAGAGGAAGTTGTGTTTGGCTAAGTTTAATAAAGTAAACTTGCCTTCTTCGACCGTAAGACGTAACGTCAAAAAATGACATTTTCCACTGAAAATTCAAAAAAAAAAAAAAAAAAAAAAAAAGGTAACTCACAAAAAGCTTCAAAGATATTTGGCAAAAAAAGTTACTTGAAAGTAACTATTTAGCTAAGCCAAAAATGCTAACTTGTATATGTGAACACCGCCTCATGATCTTGAAGCTTCGTTCCCAAAAATGGACCAATGTTCACAAGAAACTCTTTCGCATTAAAACATTATGCAAGTGTCGTAGTCTTATCTCCTTGTATTCAAATGCATAATGCCATCAAAGATAGATATTATCCAATGTCACCTCATTCTACCCTCAGATGGTGCTATATTGAGGTAACATGAGAGAGAATGTTACCTACCATCCCAAATTCTTCAGCATCCCAACTGCAAAGAACAATTGTTCTTCTCGGTTTCCACCCTAAGCGCAAAAGTCGAGCATATCGACGAGCAATGTCAAGTAGAGTAGCAGTTCCACTATTTGGGTCGACAGCACCATAAGTCCATGCATCTCTATGGTTGCCAAGAAGCACGATCCGATCGGGCTCTTCTGATCCCCTTATGACACCAAAAACGTTATGGATGGTTGCCAGCTTTTGCTCACCCTGAAGAGAATGTAACACACAAACAACATATATACAATTTAATTACAGACATGCCCACGTGTAAAATTGGTAACAAGATCTGTGGATCAGTGAGGTTCTCTCTCTGCCACAAAAAAAAAAAAAAGGGTTCGTGTTATATCCTTCAACTACTGCCGAATCTTCCATCAAAAATAGCAAAACCAAAAGGCTCAAAACTAGCACAAATTTCAGCCAGAGAGATCAGTAAACCAAGTTCTATGAATGAACACGTTTCTCAAACTTCAGTCGTTTGTTAAAAGATCATTATCAGAAACAAAATTACATGACTGCCACCCGAAAACAGTAACTTAAACTTTTGTTAAACACTGTCCATAAAGTCAACTTTGCATCACATTCATTCCAAAGCAGCAAAGACAACAACTAAAGACTGTAAACGTCCCAGGTCAAAAGCATACAAACATATATGTACATGTAATGTTTCATGTGGAGTTTTCTGGTTCTGTTTCTGTTCAACTCAGCGCATATATAAATGCAACACAAATTTGCTGTGTGTATATAATTCCGTGTATGCATTTATGTATATGCACACATGAAAAGAAAACAAAACAGACATGAGCAAGAAAACATCCTTATACATCATAATCAGCTATAATTGTAAACAAAAATCAACCAACAATCTAACCTCGTAGTCAAAGTTGAGCATGGTCGGGCCAGGCCCCACCCGTCTAATTCTACCATTTAGGTTATCCCTCCACTCATAGGGCACAATGGGCCCTTCCAATGAACTCAATATACTCTCAGCCACCGCCTCCGCCACAGGAAGCGATGGAATTGAGGGAAATCTCTGAGTGACCCGTGGGTCGCTTGGGTCCAGCTTCTCACCGCCACTAATTCCCGCCCATCCTGGAGTCAGAGGGTCCCCAAAGCCCTTCATTACAGTTCCCCTTTCGACACCCCCACGAAATGAATTATTAATATCACTGAGGGGCCCACCCTCGGTGTACATAAGTACCGCCGCCACTCCATACGCCGCGGCATTTTCTACCACCTCGTACCTCGACAGCCCGCAACCTCGGCGGACTATTCCCACGCATCCCCTAACCTCCACTCCATTCGCACTCAGGGCACGGTAGTCCTGTTCTCTCCCGTAGTTCAGGAACACCGCCTTACCGTAAGCCGTGCCGGAAGGGGAGTATGCGTGATAGGGCATTACGACGCCATTTTGAGGGACGTTAGGCTCAGCCAGAGGGAGGGAAATAATGGTGTCATTGCTAAATTGCGCGGAAACGGACGAGTGCTTAGGATAAGAAAGGAGTGTAGAGTAGTTGGAGAAACGGGTCTCTAGGCCATGGGCTTCGAACTGGGCTTTGACGTAAAGAGCGGTGTTGATGGCTGCAGGCGTGCCGGCAAGGTGGGGTTGGAGGGTGAGGTGGTGTAGGTAGGCGGCAACAGTATATTCGCTGGAAAAAGAAAGGAATGCGTTTCTGTAGTACAGATTTTTCACCGCGGCGGGGTTGGCGGTGGGGTGGCTCAAGCGGCTGCGAATGGTGGTGTAGACCACTATAACGGAGACCGTCAAAATGAAGAGGAGAGTGCATGAGGGCTTAGCTAAAATCGCCATTTCTGAATGAAAAAGCTTTGTAGGTGTTTGCTTGGAGAATTGTGTGCGCAAATCCACGATAAATATATACGCAAATACAATGTTTTGAAAGTTTCAGGTTTTGGCCTGTAACTGTTGGACTGTGAGACGGCTCATAAATATTTTGAGAAAGATGTAATGAGCCATTTTCGAATAGCAAGTTTATCATATATAGAGCATATCACATGAAAGTATATATTCCACTTTATAAAATTATTAAAATGTTTTCGAGAATATCAAGATTTGAGCTGTACCTTTAGTCCTTTTACGACCAGTTTGTCCTATAATATTAGATTGTCACATAGTTTTTATATCTGAAATTACTCTATAGTTACTAATGTGGACGATGCCTATTTAGGAGCATCGAAAATTGAGTTGTAGTGTAAGCTATTTCTCGATGAACAAGTTAAGCTTATAAAAAATGTGTTTATTGAGTTGTCACGTGATTTCCATATGTCTAACCTTATAAAATTAGATTGAATAAGTCTTGGTGTACATAATTTGGATACATTATTATATTATAGTTTTAAATATGGATGGTGCCTAAAATGTTAAAATGAAATGTGTTTTCAGGAGTATCAAGAATTGAATTGTAACATTTAACTATTTTTCAACTAGCAAGTCTGTATTGTGAAAAGTTTATATATTAGATCATCACGTGATTCTTGTATTTCCAACTTTATAAAATTAGACCGCAGCCTTTAATGTGGATGATGCCTAAAATATTACATCTTTTTTAATGAACATCGAGATTTTTTATTTTTATTTTTTGTTTTCATTGAAAATTATCTTAACTTTTTTTTTCCTTTTAATAGACATTAACTTGTTATTTGAACAACTATTAGGCACTGTTTGATATGCCATGTTGTTTCATGGAAAATGGAAATTAAATTCAATTACCCACTTTTTGGCATGTTTCATGGTAGAATTTTTCCATGGAAATGATATTTGTCCCGTCATCTTTTTAGCTTTTTAAGGAAAAATGGTGGGAATTGCTTTTCCAGAATTTTCCTTTTTTTTATATATTTTTTTGATAATTAAAACAAATTCTATGAACAATTGTAAAAGATGATATCTTTTAAATTGACAAATTTCACGTAAAACAAAGTCAAATGAATATCCAAAGATAGATGATTTTTTGGATGATATTTGATTTTCTTGATTTTATTTTTTTTGGCAATAGAAACAAGTTCTAGGACACAATTGTAAAAGATGATGTCTCTTAAATTGACAATTTTCATAAAAAATAAAATCAAACGAACATCAAAAGATACTTTTATTTCAACATTTTTCAGGTGAAAATTATACAAATCAAACACTATTAATTGACAATTCTTAGTAAAACAATTTCTAAGCAATTTAATTTCCTGAAATTATTTTTCTTTCCACCAAATTATATCTTTGCAATCAAATGGATCCTTAAAAAACACTAGCGTCTTGTGCAATTTGTTTTTAAATTTTGTTAATTTCTATTTCTATTCCTTTTACATTATTTAGCCCTTGTTTAAGTCCCATTCTTTGGGGAAAAAAGCATTTTTAAACAATATTTTAACATTATTTTAATTATATATTTTTTAATAAAATAATATTACACGTAAATTCAATTTTTTAAAATTTTTTAATCACACATTTTTTCTCAATACATTATTTAAAAATATATTTTTTTTCCTCCCAAAATGAGGTCTTAGTATAAAATTTATTTTTGTTTATGAATTTTGAAAATGTTTGAAAGAATATATGATTTGATATATGAGATGAGATACGGTGTGAGAAAAAGAGAGGGCAAAAGGACATAATGCATGTCAGTTCAGGCACTTTGGGTCATTGGAGGTGTCTACATCCTCTCCTTGGACAGACAGATATCAAGTAGGTCCAACCAATTTGATACACTCCAGCTACTACTTACTACCTATTTTATTTGGATTGTGTTATTTGTACATTTAGACATGCATTCTAGTTGTGTGATGGGTGACAAGACAAGATTATGATGGTTGGATTAAACAATTGTGTTATGTGTACAATCGAAGTTGATAATCCCGATTGGAAGGGGGGCCCAAGCTGACTAAAAAAAATCGTAAGTCTTCCCTCCTGTGAGTACATTGTCAACCCCAAATGTATAAGAAGAATAATTTTTGGATTAAATGTGTGAAATATGAATGATGGTATAAGATTGTACCAAATGTAAATTCGATAAGTTAGAGTGTAAATCAGAATAAATATAGCAACATTGATTTATTTTAACTGGTATTGGGCTTAGCCCGTATTTGACAATCATTAAAAAGAATTTTTTTAAAGATATAAATTTTGAAATAGTAATATTTTGAAGAATATGTGGTTAAAAAAATTATGAAAATATGTGTAAAATATTTTATTGTGAGAATATATGAATAAAAATGAGTTTGAGAAAAAAATGTATAAGATAATAAAAAAACTACTATATGAATATATCAAATAACAAATTATTACATATGCGCAAACATTATTTATAGCGCAATTAGTCCTTAGGCAACAGTGGACTCCATGACTTCATCATTCAATGAAGTGATGGTGGGGTTCATTACGATGGTGCTAGCAATAGAGAATAGGCATGTTTGTGCCTTTTAATTTCAGAAAGTGTATTATGGAATAATAATTGATGTAAAAATATGTGGTTAAAAAAGAAAAAAATTATTTATGTGTAATATTATTTTACTAAAAAATATGTTGTTAAAGTGAGTACTGTAAAAAAAATAATATAGTAGAATAGTTGACAAACAAAACTAAGAAACTTTTGTGTCTAGATTTAAAGATACTATCTATTGCACAAAAATTTGATGCTCTTTAAATTTAAATCAACTTTTAACTACGATAAGCAAAAATAAAATATATCTATATAGACTGCATAAACACACGTATACAACAAAGACAGACAAAGCTTAAAATTTTAAAAAATAAAAACTTTTAATTGTGAAGGAAAAAAATAATTAAAAACAAAGGAAACCTACCATTACCTACATGGCACCCACATCACATAAATTTCTATAAAGAGTTTATCACACGTAATGCAACATAGAACGACAAAACTCAAAATATATACCACTTTTTGCGTGACAAATAAAAAGTAAATTTAAAATAAAAAAATTACCAATACCTACGTGGCACCCACATCATATACTTTTTAAATAGACGGCATATCACGATTAAAACTACATAGAACGACAAACGTAAAATCAAAACAACTTTTGGTTGTAATAAATAAAAAAGAAAAATAGGTCATTATCTAGATAGCATCCACATAGTGCAACATTTTAATCAAATAATATTTGGTCCCAATATTAAATAAATACCTAGAACAATATATGTGTGGATATGAATGCATGCACAAAGAGAAAGTATGTAAAGGGGCATAAACTTTTTCTTGATTTTTATTAACCTTTTCTATGTATTGGCAAGAATAAGAATCAATGTCATGTTCTCTTCTTTTTGTGTCACTTTGCCAAAAGAAATCTCTCAAAAATAATTGATTTTGATGCAAAAATGAGTGGGAAAAGCATTAGCCAAATGCCTCTCAAATTGAAAGGAGATCTTAAAAATATTGCACCCACCAAAGATTCTCTTACAAAGCCAATTTATGGGGAGACAATGATGTAGTCCAAATATCTTTATATTCTAATGCTATTATTTATTTGAGTCCCACCAGCTAATATTACATACCATCAAGTTTAGATATGTTAATTCTTCATTTTTTAGTATTTGTAGATTTATGAAAAATTGTCATAATATGTGATTGTTGATGTTGCATGATCATTTCTAATTGGATCTTGCCAAGAATATACTACGTTGATTCAATGTCATTATCTTCCTCTTAGATACACACGATACCTATATGAATATCATATGGTTGATATCGCACTTACAATTAGTGTAAAACATAACATCATAATTTGTGATGATTAAGGCGACTCGTGTACGTTTATTAAGGGCTAGTTGATTGAGTGGAGGGAATTGACAATAATAATAACTACATAATAGATCAATTTTCCAATATTAATCAAGCAAATTCCTATTAAATGAAGTTTTTTACTTTTCGAAAAAAAAATAATAATAAAGGGAATGAGGGCCACAGACCCCTATAAGCGGGGCTTGACACGGCTCAACCAGTACCTGCTCGACCGTGCCTAAAGCATGTCATGCTGCCCGGTCTGGATAGACAGAACTTCGACTGAACTGGGGTAATCTTGAGGAAGTGCTAGCCCTGACTATAGATAGTGAGATGGGAGAATTTTCGAATTCACAAAATGCTTTGAAAATTGTATAACAAAACACATACATTGCCAACATCCTCGAGACATTTGTACTAACTGATGATCAGGATCCATGGCAACATAGTAGAATGACTGTTCGACTTTAGGATAATCATCCAGTCTAGCTCTACTCAAAGACGATACAGGACGCAACTAAACATAAAAACAAGCACACACATGTTATGATCATTGGACATTGTCTTTCTTCTTGTTTGCACATTCTATCTGGCTTCATGGATACTCGAAACAATGGGGTTGGCAAAGGCAGTCAATGGCATGCATCAGCTTTCTCCGAGGACCAACAGCTACTGCACCCATATCTTTAAGCTTTTGCATGGTAAGATTAGCCAACTGATATTTGTTGACACTCCGGCTCTGAAAAATGGATATGAAGCGGCTAAGGCCTAGAGAAACTAGCCAGTTGTTCAATCCTCCAGCACTACGGAGTTTTTTCTCGAGATATAATGCTCTCATTCTCCGATTCAGCAGTGTGCTCGTATCAGCAAATATCATAAACTTCTTACTCACTTTTGATGTGCTGCCAAATCTTATCATTTCATCCTCTCTAAAACTATGAATTGGTGAATTGTCCAAATCAACCCTGTGCTGTAGCTCGGATGGTGGAACAGGTTCAGAAGGATGAACTATATTAGCTGGTGGAAGATCCTCCTCAGGAGACACCGAGATGGATTTCTCCCTTGTAGGAGACAAATGCGTTTGGACACGTGTACCCGATGGACACTGTGGCTCAGAATTAGTTTTTCCAGGCTTTTCTTGTATCTGAGGTTCTGCCGTGTTAGGATTTATGGGCTGTTCCTTGCTGGCCAATGGTGGGATTAAAATAGTGACTCTCTGCTTCTTGACCACCACCCAACTATCTTCATCAGCTGGGTCCACCTCTGGGGCACCTTGATATTTTTTCTTCTTTGCCGTATGTCGTGATTTTGGTTTTGCCATTAGCTGCAGAGATGGAGCCAAGTTATGAAACACGTTCAAACTTCTACAGAAAGGACATGCTACCTCAATTTAATTTTCCATTCAACTGGTAATAAAGGAGCTACAAACAGAACATACATAAAAGTTGATAAGTAAAGCAGAATACATATAAATAACAACTGGATTGGATATATTGTAGCCATGAAGCACAAACACAGAATTCAGGATTACACTTCTCCATTTAACTATAGAAAGAATAAATCTTAATACATTGATTAGTATATTTGCCTGGTAGTTTTTTGCTCAAACCTCCAGTGTATCAAATAGGTGAGACCCATTACTTAAATGGGACCTGGCATGAACGAATAACAAACATGTCAATATTCAAATGGCAGGGAGTACTGAGTTCAGTACTCCTAGAGTACTAGAAATATTATCCTTCAACAGGCCCCCACCCCCAGAAAACAAGAAGTTGTACTTCCATATCAATTCACATATATTTAGGGTGAACTGCAAGCACTGCCACCAATGTTTTTTTTCCTTGGCATTAAGCTCCTCAACCTCCCATTTTTCAAAGATTTAGTCCCTACACACTCCAGCTAGTTGCCTAAGGAACAATAGATGAACTTACAAGAAAATGCTCAAGGCTTTGAAGCCAAAATTTGACAACAAAAGCAGGAAGAAGGGGTGTGTACTAGAAAATGAAGGAACCAACACCACCCACCAAACATCCACATGCGGAAATGGAGGTTGGGGCGGGAGGGGGCTGATGGTGTGGTGGTGGGGGAGGAACAGGGAGCCGCTAGCCGGGAGGGAGGTTAGGAGGTGGGGGGAGTTGGGAAGAAGATGATATTTTTTCCCTATATATATATATATATTAACCTCATTTTAGCTTGAGTATAATTTGTATTTTCATGATCAGTTGACTTTTTTTAGACGGAAAGTCAGAAACCATGAATGAGACTAATTTCATCTAAAAATAGAAGGTTGAAGCACTTAATGCCAATATAAAAACGTTGGAGACATAAGTGACTATAGGGTCAAACATTAGGGAGGGATTGGACAATTTACCCACATTTTTCATGAGGAAAAAATTGGGAAGGTTCACATATACTTGGACCATCATAAACTACATTTGGCAATTTTTTGGATATTTAACCGATTTTGTGCAACTGTGAGGACTGCATTAAGCCTCTGTTTGACATCCATTCTTTCAAAAGAAGGAATTTTGAATAGTAAATTTTTGGAGAATGTATGGTTAAAAAGTAGAAAAATGCTTTAGGTTTACGTGAACAATATGTTATTGTATAATGTGTCCTTGAAAATTAGTATGAAAAAAAAAAAGAGTTTTGAAAGAATGGCTGTCAAACAGGGGCTAAGAAAATAAATTCTATCTGTTTTAAGAAGTCATTCCATACAATGCATTCCTATTTGCATCCCACAAACAACTCAAGCATATCGGACATCTGCTATGAGACTCATAATAAAACATTAAAACTGCATGGTCCATTAGATTAACTGAACAACGGATATGATAGTCAAAACACCTATATCGTCTGCATCTAGCCCAGTAGAAAAACAGAACTTGCCAGACTCGATTTTTTGAAGCAACTATTGGGAGGCTTTCTACCAGTTTCTACATTTCTCCACCCCATATGACAAAAGCTCGAAAAAATAAACAAAAATACTCTTATAAGTCATTTTGTGAGACACTTTTTCCCTCCAGTTTCAGGCAGATGCTACACTAACATTTCTTTCCCAGAATTTAGCCCTTGTGTGGGAGTGATTATTTGAAAAGTGGTGGATAAAAAGTAGGGAAAAGTTATGCGGAAATGTGAAAAATCTTATTTTTCTTCTTCTTCTTCTTTCTTTTTTTTTTTTGGAAAATGTGTGGCTGAAAATGAGTGAGGAGAAAAAAGTGATTCTCAAATAATCACTTTTAAACAAGGGCTTATTTCTCTTTTGCATCTGTATCAAAATTAGTTGGCACCAAGTCAACTTACTTTAAGAGATATCAAGCTGAAGTTAACATAGAAAGCAAAACAAATACAATTCGTTGACATTCTATATTAACAAACTAATATGTATATTGCTCTCCGAAAATTTACATTTAAAAATGATATTTGTTAAACATAGAGAGATGAAGACTCAAGAATACCAAAGCTACCAACATTTATGACCATTTACTGATAGAGGAAAACTACCAACATAAGATTACAAGTTATCTATTTTAATCTCTAATAAAAGTTTATAGCTGCAGTACAGTTCACTAACAGTGCCATTGGTTGCAAAAACTTTTCAGTCTGATTGCAGTTGCCCAGCATTTAAAGGAAAGATAGAAATCCCACCATGCCTGTCAAGAAAGCTAAATATCCTTTCTTTTTTTCTCATTTTTTTTTTCATTTTTTTTTTTTTTCAAAAGATGAAGTGGACAGGAGAACAAATCATGTTATGTCTCTTGCTTAATATGATTATGTTGAAGATATGCCAATAATTTTATCTCTACTTCATCATGAACAACAGATATTTCCTTGAATCCTACACTCTTTTACCTCAATCTTGGAAGAATTGCTTTACTATGAGTGCAAACTATAAAGCAAAAAACGGGGGAAAAAAATGAAACGAAATATTATTATAAAGTTAGCTGAAAGAATTTTGTAGGTCTCCCTACTTTTTCTAGTAGATGCAGAAGCACCAGTAAATATTAAATGATAATACAGTTGTGTTTGTTTCAACATGGTTGAGCTTTGATTGATTTTAATTTTAATTTGAGGAAGGATTTAAGCTTGGACAGATATCAAATCCATTGGTTTTAAAATTCACTAATTGGATTTAATATCAATGGATTTGCAAAATAATTGTAGGCATCAACAAAATTTACAAGCATAGATGTCAAAATTTGTAATGAAGAATCCATCTCATTAGTTAAATTGGTTTCGATTCATTATGGATTTCAAATTTTTAACATAATCCATCAACCAATTTTAAAATTCGTTGATGAATTTGGCAAATTCTCCCGAATTTGAGTCATTAGGTAATCCTCTCTGTTCTTTAATGGATTTCAAATCCGCCAAATTCATTTTGTTGTCCAATCAATGAATTTACACCAGTTTGACATATCATCTAACTGCAATTTCAAGAATTAGCTACGAATGTACGTGATTTTAAAATGACTCCAAAAGTCTGCCCAAATACATCACGAGGAAGGAATTATACTATGGCTGATGTATTTGGATATAGACTTAAAAAGCATAATAACTCAAATATGTTCAAACAACTGGAATGCATTTCTTGTTATGAAATTCATGTTCATTGGTCTAAATCCTTAAATCAATGGACCTCGAGTTACTGAACTAATATAAATACTCGTACACTTCATAAGAATTTCCAGTGTTCGGTTGTATCATGAAGGTGAAACTTGCACTTCTTTGTTAAGGTCTGGAGATTAATATCCTCTATTAACTTAGAGTTTGCATGAAAGGGGTCTCGTTACAACTATATCATTCTACAGATTGATAATTCTTATCTATAATCCCCTAATACAAGTACTATATCACTGTTTTATAGATTTGTCTGCAGGTCCAATATTTTCTTTAGTCAAAACATAGAAATTTTCATAGAGAGGCAGTACATTAAGACCATTGTTATATCTTTCTCACCCACTGTTCTACGCGCACAACCTAATGTAAGACCACTCGAGAATCCCATTACTATATTTTCTTGAGATTTCTGTATCTGTAAATACCCTTATAAAAACATAATATCATTGTTTATTTAAATTTGACTATGGATCCAATCTTTTATTCCTATGAACTATAGGGATTTTCAGCAAGGGCAAGTACATGAAAATAAAAACATGTTTTACTTACTTCTCACCCATTCTATCAGCACCATGATCGAATTTCTACATAAAATTTGAAGGAAAAAGAATTCTTTTTGCTCACAGTGGAAGTTTTATTAAATAATACAAAGTACAGTGTAATTGTTCTATAAATTTGACTATTTCTCCATTTGAACTGTAGGGATTTTCATCAAGAAGCAGTACATGAAAATTAAGACAATTCTACATATTTCTCTATTGAGAGACAAATCATTAACTACCAACCAAGTTACCAGAGAGTTTTAATTTTTAACGCAAACTTAGAATACTTCAGCCCCCCAGCTTCTTTTCACAGTACAATAAATTGCCTATAATATATATGTTTATTCATAATCATCTACATAAGTTTATGGATTTAATATAAGCATATAGGTTCAAGGTGAAGGGGACGAACCTGGTGAGATTGTGGGAGTAAGTATCGGACTCCAAATTCTTTATAAAGCTTATGAAATCGAGAAATTCGAACCCAAGAAATCTATAGAATAAAATCCTGATCTTCCACGAGAATCTTCCGAAATTTTGTCTGATCTCTCTTGCCCTTTCGTTCTTCTGTTGACATTGACAATTACAGAACGAGCTTGACGAAGGCAGTGATGAGCTTAAAATTCTTTATTTACAAGTATTAAGTAGATTTGTCAGTTTTGATTTTTCTCATCGGAGAGAGAGAGAGAGAATCTTTGACTGAATTTGAAACTAAAGTAAGTTTGGGGACTCAATTGAGATTTTTGTTCAAGTTTATGGGCTGCTAATAAAATAACCCATATTTCTGTGTTCGGTAAGATTATCCTACCCCTTCCTTCTTCTCAAGCAGGAGCCTGGCTCACTCTCTTTAATTTAGGAGTAGCCATGGTTCAGTTGAAGCCTATCATTGCTCGTCTTTTCTCGCTGTATCTGCTTGTACCTTGGACTTCTGCCAAGTCCACCGACGTCAATACTGCAGTATGATTACCGAATTCCCTTTGCTTTTTGTATTTTTCTAGTGTAAATTTAAGACGCTGGAGTTCCATTTATTCGTTAATTTGATTTTTTCTTTTCAAACCGGATAATGTATTTTTAAGATTAGGGTATTGACCTTTCCTGTATTATTTAATTTTTCTGGAAAAATTATTGATTTTGGATTTCGTTTCAGTTTTTTCAAATTTCTTGAAATTCAACGTCTTCTTAACATTTTCTGAAGCAGTTTATGGTTTTTCGACTATCCCTGTAATTTCATATAGTCAGTCAGTCAGTTTGATTTCTTCTTTTCACACTCAATCATGTCGTTTTTAAGATTAGGGTGGGTTTTTATTGTTATTATTCTTATATTAGTTTTTCTGGAGGATCTGGTTGGGTTTGTTCGGATCAGTTTTTCAAGTTTCTTGAAATTAAAAGAAATATAATTTTTTCTTTGTAATATGGATCATAATTCTATTAATTTTGCCTTTCTCCAAATGGAATGCAGATAAGAAGGCTAATGATGATGTTAAGGTCAGTGGAGTGGAGATAATTCCTTACCCTATTTCTAGCGGCAAACAAACCACCTTCAGCATTGTTGCATCTTCCGGTAATAGCATATGCCTCGAACACTGAAATTTCATTTTTCTATTCCTCTGATTTTTGCTTAAACATGTTTCAGAGTCTCCAGTTCTTTGCAAATGTCTTTTCAGTGAAAAATAATAACATTTGTTGTGCCTTTATTGTTCTAATAACTTCTTTATGGTATAAAATGGATGGGATAACAATGTCCAAGAAAATAGTACCCCTTCATCCAGAAATACTATTCCTTCGACTTAGTCAAACTGACTTTCATTGGTTTTGCTGCTTCTCTAAATGCAGAAGAGACTCATTAGATATATCTTTGTATTCACTTTAATATGTTTCCAAATAATAAATGACTAATAATTCATTCATAAAAAGTTGCTTGCTTTAACAAATATTCACAGGAATGGGATTTTTGGCGAGGCATAATTAAACATTCTATACACCCTCGAAAGCATGTTGCCTTGAAAAGCTGAAGAACAAGTTCTGTGTGCAAAAGAGGTGTTTCTTTCTTTCTTCTTCTTTTTTCTTTTTTTTTTTTCCCCCCAGGTGGTGGGTGGGTTTGCAAAGAGTAATAGCATACTCATGTTTTCATGTTACCTAACCTTCGAGTAGTAAAAGTACTTGTGCTTATATCTTTTACGTCAACCAGAAGATAAAATTGACAAATTTCCTTCTTATCCATTTCTTCTAGCTGAAAATTACCTTTCTTATGCCTCCCACATTTTTTTTTGTATTTTATATTTCTTTACAGATCCTTTATGTATGAATGAAAGAGAAGCATCATTAGATGTCTTCTTGCGGATCTCTGACGGTCGACTTTAAAGTTTCCATTATGGATTTATTTTGGTTTTCCAGCTTACTAGTAATAAATGAAGTAGGAAGAACTAGATGTGTGGTTTACCATATATCTCTAATTCTGACCTACACTCTCACTATCTCCCACCTCCCTCACAAATTTTTGAGTATCATTGGAGGAAGCATGTCATGTATCAGCTTATTGGTGATAGATTAGCGTGAGTTTAAATTGTGAGATCTCAGGCGGGTCGGGAAAAGTACTAGATTTTGATTACTTGGAAGTCGGATGATAGCCATCTAGTAGGTAACTATGTTGCACCAAGATGTTGTCAGATCCAGCGTTTTGAGCTTCGACACCAGCGTTTTGAGCTTCGACACGTGCCAGACATGCTACAATATGTCTTGGAAATGCCATGTGGGTGCGTGTGCCTTTCTAGTTATTTTTTTTTTCCCATCAAGTCCGACACGTTCTTGGACACGGCAAACCTCGGCGGGTGCTCTGAAAAATAGAGAAAAATTAACCTGCTGGCTAGTGCAATGAAAAAGGCCATCGCCGACGAGTGAAGTGGAAAAAGCTATCACCAATTAGTGCAGTGAAGAGAGGGAGAGGGAGAAAGTCAAACCTTAAGGTATTATTATCACATCAACGAAGATGGCACTTGAAAGTTGAAAGCCAAGCCCTATGCAGGGTCAATTTTTTTTTTAAGTGGGTCAATTGTTTTTTTCTTAATTTTAAGATTGGGTTTACAATGGCAGTAAAACTTTTAATACATATAAAGCTGTGTTAATAAATTATAATCAAACTACCCTATATATTTAATATTGTTACATAAGTGTAAAAAATTTATAGAATAAAATATCCTATATAATGCTTTAGTATTTTATTGTAAGGGCTTTGTTTTAATTTTTTCTATAATAATGAAAGTATGCTGAATTTTATGATGTAACTTATGAGAAATACTACACGTTTATATACATGTATTTGCGTATCCTAATTTTTAAAAAAACTGTATCGGCATACCTGTTTTATATCGTATCCAAATAATTGCTTTTTAGGTAGGTACACTATTTAGTATTTACTATGTCTGAGGACTCTGAGAGCGTATTTATTTCTTTATGGCTACATGTTTGACACCAAGACAATGATTATCCAGTTAGTACACTTTCTAGCTCCCATGACTAAGAACTGTAAGACCAGATTAATTACTTTATGGCTTCTAGTTTTAAGCCTAGTGATCTGTGGAGGAAAGCAGAGCCAAGAGGGAAACATTTGGTTTCTTACTAGGAAGAATTTGACATTATTAATATTGACCTCCCTGTACTGTACTGGTAGTTTATACTCGTGCTCCTTCACATGCTTTAAGAGTAACAATGAATTTGGCTGCTGCTATGGGATTCATGAATTCTCACCAGTTTGTGTGTAGATATAGAGCTTCTCCACTTTCATATTCTTTTGATTGACTTCTAGGAGTATTTCTTCGTCCTCTCACATGAGTAGGGCACCATTCTATAACATAGTCTGGAACTTGTGGAGAGAAGGGACTGCCACAAGCGACAAAGGAAGGCAGTTTTATCGCACCAATGAGTTGATACGTGCAACTAGAGAATCTAATGAAACATTATAATTTCAAACATGCTATTCTGCATGAATGTAGCTTCAATTGCAACTTGTTCTTGTGAGCTGAAGATTTACCTTGAATTACCGAGCAGATAGAGAATTCTCTGGTGGGAACTCACAATCGATGTTTCATACCTCAGATTTCATGTCCATGGTGAGACTCACGATCTCTGTGGAAAGACAAGATGTCCAGTTTCTGTTGGCGATTCTGCGATTTCTCATTCCCAAGTTTACCTGGAATTACGCCACCTGTAAGTAACCTTTTTTAGTATGACCTGGCATTCCCGTAAGTGCACTGCCCATGTCAAGCCTAACTTCATGTATTGCCATAAGTACGAATATCCCCTGAAAATGTTAATTTACCTAGCATCAATAACTGCGCACCACCCACGCAAAAAAAATAAAATAAAAATAAATATCGAATCAAGGGCAATAAAGGAAATATAAAAATGGAGAAAGGGCCCTGATATTTTTCGCTTTTCTCATGAAGCTAATGTTCTTGACGTTCGCAGGGTTCATACACTCTTAAAATGTCAAGGTAGATGAGCACAAGAAGCAATCGTCATGCATTACTTTTTTACTTCAGCATTGATTTTGCAGCATCAGAAACCTTGGCTTCAAGTTAAGCACACTCGAGGATTTGCTCCACTGAATCTACATCCTGGGCTTCAGATGTTGTAAATAAAAACTTTCTATTTCGAATGTTATAAACCTCGTATCTGTATCCACGTCAATGTTAATATTAGGGTACTGGTTCTGGTGTTCTTCAATGTATGTTGATTAAAATTCACTAATCACTGTTTGGGCCATAATTCGAACAAAATAGCTATGCAGCCTCAGATATACGCTAATTTATTTCTTCCGTCTTTGCTGTCAGTGTCATCCCGACTCCACTTTCAGAATCGAGACTCTTTACAATTTCCACTCGAGCTTTTCCTTGAGAAAATTCTTGAAATCAACAGGGCAACAACCAACATGAAATTGTTTCGTCAAAAAAGGAAAAATCTGGTCCAGTGATGTTGGCGTTATGATCGAAAAAGTATCTTTTTAAATAACGGTAAAAAAGAATTCATGTTTGTGATGGGAAATTTTACATAAAAATAAAGAACTTCGTTCTTCGTTGACTCGACAAACTATTGTGGTGCAATGATGGCGGATGGAAACAATCATTAATTAACATGCAGGATATGAAGCATCCAAGGCCTTAATCAAAGATATTCAAGTGATAAAGTGATTTACCCATCAATCCGTAATCTGTAATCATATATATGGACCTTAACTAACGTGTTTATAATAATATTTGGACCACATTTTCAATGATTTCCATCACAACGTGACATGCCATAAAATTGGGTTCGATTTCAAGTGCTTCTCTGAGTTTATACTTATTTCATAGTCGTCTCGGCTTCTTGAGAGTTCTCGACTGGTTTAATATGTTTCTTTGTAACGAATCATATTTGTTATAAATGTATTACAAGTCTTATGGGTATGTTTAAAAAAGAGTAGACAACACAATTGACGTGATTTTTACTCAACTTCCTTTTTTCGATTATGGTCCAACGGTGTCTGATATATCTCACCGAACATGCAATAAGGTATTGACTGAAAGGGACATGGGTCATGGCTGGTACTGAAAAGGTTCGATCACCAAAATTGCTTTATATCCACTAAGTCTAATTTAAAGAATGGGGGGAAAAAGCTGCTTTGGCTTTTCCTCGTGGCTGAATTATGAGCCCATGGCACACCTTGTCTCCCAAAATCAACTTCTGGTCCCAACTGTACTGGTTCCGCTAGTGTGAAGTTCCCGTTTTGGATGGTGCAATTTGTGTGTATTTTCCAATCATCATCTTTTTCAGTTGCTAGTGGGCCAGTTTTACGTCCACGTGGATTGTTTGGAGTGGTTGGTGGGATAATGGAAACCAGTGCAGAAGGTGGTACTCCACAGCCTATAACTCACTCTTTATCATTTGATTATTCAAGACTTGATAAAGCAACTAACAATGGCATTCTAAGAACTACTTTCCAACCACTGGAAATCAAAAGAAAAATCTCAATCAGACTTGCCTCTCTAGCACATTCTTGATTATTCATTCTCAGCCTAGTAACGAGCTGGTTTTGGTTTTGAGTATAGTTGCTATCCATTTATGAAAACTGTGCACGTGACATGTCGTTTTGACGAAAAAATGAAGCTGACTTGTACGTGAAGGGACGTCTTGAGGTGGTTCAAGTGTCTTATCTTATTCGTTTATAATTTAGTTTGTCATCAGCACATGTGATCGCAGTTCAGGAAAGAAGAAAACTGAAGAGGAGATGAAAAATATGAAAGGAAGAATCCTTATGAAACTCAAAAACATTTCAACAATCACTCAGAAACAAGGCCTAGTTTTGCACCCAAATTCATTCTTTCAAGCCTCAACTCCTCACAAAGAACACAGCAATGACAACCTTCCTAACTTAGTAGCCAGCAATATCAGTATATCAGAACTTGCAAACAATGTACCGGATGCCGAATTTTCTTCTGTTTCTAATGTGAATAACGAAGAAAAATTTCGACCCTATATAAGATCAACAGATCATGGTCAGCCTGCCATAGATCAGTTACAATTATTGTCTGAGGTTGATGATTTAGTAGAGTTTGGCGAGTCAGCTTGTCGTCCAACGATAGGAGAATTCGAGGGCCATTCTAAACTCATCCCTTTACCTTGCTTCAAGCCGAGAGACATGGAAGATTCTAGAAACTGCGAAAGAAAGGAAGAAAACTATGGATCCCCATCTATATCAGATTTTGAAGAGAAATGTCCTCCAGGTGGAACTGATTCAGTCATATTCTACACCACAAGCCTGAGAGGAATTAGAAAAACTTTCGAAGACTGTAATGCGATCCGCTTTCTTTTGGAGAGTTTTCGAGTAGTATACTATGAGAGAGATGTTTCGATGCATTTGGAATATAGAGACGAGCTGTGGAGAGTACTTGGTGGTCGAGCAGTTCCCCCTAGGCTTTTCATTAGAGGTAGAGACATCGGAGGGGCTGATGCAGTCGTAGGATTGCATGAAAAGGGAATGCTAAGAAAACTCTTACAAGGGATATCCTTAACTCAATCGAATTCTCCTTGCAATGCTTGTGCTGGAATGCATTTTGTTTTATGTTTCCACTGCAATGGCAGTCGAAAAATCACTTCAGATGGGCAAGTAAATGGATTATCATCCATAAGGTGTCCAGACTGCAATGAAAATGGATTAATTAAGTGCTCAATTTGCAGCTTGAACTAAGTGATTTTTTCTTGAGATTTCTTGATGTTTGTAGATATTGTACTGTTCTAATAGCGGTCTACATTGTTTAAATGACCAAAACTACAAATCTATCTGTTAGTCCTTTTCGTTCTTTCTTGTTATTCGATATCTCGTTTGTACAAGTTTTTTCTTTATTTCTAGGACCTCTTGTGAGTTGGTCGAAAAGGCGATTCAAAGACTGCTTCTAGCTGCACTTGATATTTCCCTCAAGTTTACATTGATTTGTAAACCAAGAATCTTTGCGTACCCTAATATCATGTTCAATCACCTCTTAAAACTATTCAGAAGTGGATCATTCTATCATCCTTGAGAGAGACCATTTCACAGAAAAACGAATCTGATTTACAAAATGGAATAAAAAATGTAATAAACTGCAACGGTAGAAATCTCTAGTTTTCCAAAATCTGCTGTAAGTAAGTAAACACAATCAACATGCTTAAATTGAAATGTTCAGTCTATGAAAAAAAAAAAAAATCTATTCACGAGAGGGACGTTACCATTTACCCTAAAACCAAACTAGATAAGAGATTCCGAAGGTATTTTATGAAAATTTACTTATAAGTTTAAGTTGCAGTTTATAAGTGCAGATACACTGGAGTTTACCGTGTCTAATTTTAATATCCGTAAAAATTGATGTACGTTAGTTAATGATTGCCTTGGAGAATCAAACTTCAACTGATGTTAGAGATGTCAATGTATATTCTGTACTTGCATTAGTGGTTGGTTAACAGGAAAATCAGATGAATAGGAAAATATTATAGGGCGATGTTCAAATTATCACTTCAATGAAAGGTAGAACCAAAGGAAGAATATGGTAGAACAATGAGACTTTAAGATTAGAGGTGTTTACTGTTTACATCGAAAGATGATTACCACTTGAGTCCTTAATGCAGCTGAAAGAAAACAAAACCATCTAATACAACTTCACTCGAATAATGAAACAGTCTCCTATCAACTCGACCCCAAAAACGAAAAACAAGTTAGGTATGGTCACACTTTCTTGAATTTACAGTTAACCGTCAAAAACCATGTCTTTAAGCAGAAACCTCAGTTATAGCATGGGCGCGGCTTCTTCTTCTGCCACTTGAGTTGCGCTAATTTGCCGCTCTAGTTGAGTGAAGTGAAATTCAATTTGTAGTCTCTGATGAAGAGTAGTTGATGTTATCAAGCCTTTCTTGATATCATCTTGTAGTTCTCTCATTGGTATTGCGGCCAAGAAACTCTTTATATACTCTTTGCACGACTCTTTACCTTGACAAACAACCACTTCTTCCTCTTCACTCATAATTGGATCCTCGGATCTGGTCACTGGTATCCCTTCTTTCAAACCCTCCTTCGACTCTATCTGCTGCTCTGTATTCAAGTTTTCAGACTCCAATGCAACAACAATTCTCGTATCATCTACGGGTTTTTCTTCTGGAGATTGCTTGGCATCTGGAAGTCTGTAGATAGTCGTATCCCTGTCGAATTTCAGTATGTAAGCTTGACTGCAACCCTCGTAGAGTCGTTCCCCTAATGTGTCGATGATGTAGTAAGCATCTGTTTCGACCTTCAGGACAAAAAAATGGTCATTCCAACTGACAATGAAAACCTGGGATTTTCCACTGCCAGAACAGTCTGAATGACTAATCTCGTCCCAGATATTGTCAAATGACATAGCACCATGCAGAAAATCAAAATTTTCTCCCTCCGTCCCTTCTGGATGGAAAAACCCAATAAACGATTTCCCAGGAACTATACAAAGAGGACGTGTTTTGGATTCGAGGACCGTCTCTAGATCAAAGTGCTTATCAGGAAACCTCTCCCTGTAAATTTCATTTTCGCAGAGATTTCTCCATTCTAACGAGCCTTCTCGGATCAAACTGTCGAACTGTGACTTAATAGGCATGAGGTCATGGTAATTCTGCAACCAATCAGCAATCACCGTAACAAGGGCTGTACATGCACTTTCTCCAGCCGCTTGCTCACTTCGCTGATCAATGGAAGCCAAGAAAACCTGTATTTGAATCTTCATGTGTCCATCGCGACTTGTGATTTCTTTCTGCTCCCAACAACCAACGGTAAAACTATCATCACCGAACTCCGAAACTGAAGATCGATTTGCAATTGAATCTTCATCTGCCTTATGCCACTGCCAAGAAATAAATAGCCATGCTTAAGATGAAAATCGGAAGTATATGATAAATAACCAAGGGTGAAATATATTGCATTTAGGTAATAACCTAAGAATATAGATAAGGTAATGCTATAAATGCAGTGTTACTAACAGTAGTGAAAATTACAGGCAACAATCAAATTGTTAATGTTCCATGAACTTATAATGACTAAAGCTGGTGTATCACACTTGCCAAGATGAAAAAAATAGTCACCTTGTTTCTTAATACATTTCACAAATTTCAGTGCCATGATTAAAATCTAAAGCAACTGCACTAGGTCACAAATGCTTCCCCAATTAGAATATGAATGGTGCAGTTAGGAGGCTCGTTTCAAACCCCGACAAGGAGAAAGAAAAAGGTTGTTACAGCCTTTTTCATTTAACATAGAGAGTAAATTTTCTGAAGAAATATAGGTTTCATAATTAGTACTATATGCCTAAAGACTAAAGTCAAATATGGTATAACTATAAGCCTCACACCAGGTCATAAATGCTTCTCAATTAGAATATGAATGCTGCAGTTAGTCGAACATTACGAACCAAAAAAAGAAGAAAGCAAAGGATGTTATGACTTACCAAAGAAATATAGATATCATAATCAGTATTATAAAGTCAAATATAGTATATAACGGTCAGCCTTATACGGGAATAAAGCCAAAAAAAAAAAAAACGATGATTTTTGCTTCATAATTCAATTAAATAAAAACATGAATAAAAAATCACAAGCTTGAAAAGAAACTTCTTTAAATGGTGTAATTTTAAAGGGGTAATGCATAGAAGTATATAGCAGGTTGGATAATATGAAAAAGTGCTATAGGAATTGTATATGATTGGAAGATCATATACAATAATGGTGAACATGTTAGAAGGGGTAAACCAAACTGACATGTTTTGTGATGGTTGTTAATGATCTAATTGCATTAGCTAATACATCTAGCAATGAACCTAACTGCGAGGTGGAAAAATTCAAGTAGCCAACCTCAAAACTTATTGGAAAAGGTTCTGAGTGTTGTTGCGGATCCTATTGTATAACAAGAAGAGAGCATTTAACGATCCTTACCCCATACAAGAGAGATTCATCAGGGCTCAACTGTCGGCGATCAAAATCAATATCATCTCCACCTTCTTCTCCATAAGCTTTCTTTAACAATGGCTCTCCTTTAGCCTTAGGAGATCTGAAGCTCAGCTTCCTCTTTCTCCAAGGTAGAATACTACGTTTCGAATTCTGCATCAGAGATGGCTCAGATACAGTGGAATCCAAATCATCCTTGTGCAAGGAGCCAACATCTGATTTGCGGTTGCTGTAGTAAATCCAATCTTCATCCTCGCCGTTGATTTTAGCACTAGAGTATGATGACACGCCTGCATACTTAGCATACGCCAATGAACCATAACTAAATGACTTCCTAACAGTGGGATCCTCCTTCATGTGCTCAGATGCTCCTTCAGCATATTCATCAAGTGAGTCTGCATCAAAGGGATAAGCGCACTCGCCCTCTTCACTCTTGGCAGAGCACCTGCCTTCACTACCATCTTCCTCCAGGCAAGCTTTTTTAGCACTCCGAGTCGACACAAAATCTGTAAAGATTTTTACCTTTCTGAGACCGGCTTTAAGCACAGAAACTTCATCTCTATCTATCGAGGAAGTATCTGCAGATGATGGAGATGTTGTGTCCAGCATCATTTGCCTTTGCACCGATACTGTTGGTTCTTGTGCAGCTCTGAGTTCCAATAAGCTTAGACATATCTGAAATCAAAATGGCTGTTAAGATGTAGAAGGAAATAAATAACTTTGAAGCCTCTAATAAAATTTAAATAACCGATATTATGAAGATTTGTGATCCCAAATTGATGTCAGATAAAATTCTGAAATCATACGTACACAAAGTAAGGAACAGCTCTGAGCTGCAGCGCCTGACAATGAGAGTGGAATCTTAACTTCAATCTCTTGCTCTTCATTGTTGGAAGCAAATTCAGCAAGGTTCAAGGCTGCAGAACCAACTATAGGAAACTTGTTCTTCACCCCTTGATTCAACCCCTAAACAAAACCAAGCAAGTTTAGTTCTATTGAACAAAGCCCTGAAAGAAAACAACAATCCATATGTTGATCATAAGAGCTTAATATAATAACTCTTTGACAGACCTCTGATTTTAGAAAAATGCAAATATAGACATAAATGATATAACATTGTAAAGTTGCTAACTTGCAGAACTCGCGATAATTGATAAACAAACCAAGTAAATTAAATGACGTTAAACTCTACCTATTTTTAGCCAAGAGCACATAATACTTGAGTCTCATTAAGCTTCTGTTTGAGCTCCATTATTCAAAAACTTGTTTTTTCCCAAACTCACTATTAATCACACATTCTACCAATAAAATAATTTGCACGTAAACTAAAATTTTTTCCGACTTTTTAACCACACATTTTCTAAAAAATTACTATTATAAAATCCATTTTTTGATAAAAATAGGGCTCAAACAATGACAATATGATTAAAAAAAAAAAACACCAAAATTCACAAAATCAACGATTCCACTAAACGACACTCACACATACCATGTGCCACAACATGTAGAATTTCTGGTTATTAGAACGTGCAATAAAAAATTGGACCATTACAATAAAGACCTAAGTCACTAACTAATTTAACTACTTGTTCAAAAACAGGGCAAAGACAGCCGGCTTTGATATAAGATAAACAAAATTCAGTTATCTCAAACCTTTATAGACTACTAATGAAGAAAAGAAACATTTAACAAGACAAGACATGGTTCAATGATGTCTGCAAAGTCAACTACGATTAAAAGATTCTCCGGCTCACATGGCAAACCACCCCAAAACGACATACAGAATCTATAATTTCAACTAATCATGGGCAAGAAGCACTCAGAAAGCCCATGAAATGGTGGCTTAAAGATCCTTTCACGATATGATGGTAGCATTCTATTAATCTGATAACACAATCCCAAGAATAGGCATTTTGAACCAATTCAAATACTCAATTGACAGGCATAACACAAACGTTTGTGGTAATTTCGGATCCCATCAAAAGACAGTAAAATTGCATAGCCTAGCCTTCATGAAGAATTAAGAAAGTCGTCTAAATTTGGGGCATTTGTCTGCCTATATCTCTTTGAATATTTCAATCTCAAGATCACGTAAAAAATCATATTCTTCTGTAAATAAAGTTGGATTTAACCACAATAGACTCTTAACTACGCCATATGAAAGTTATTCCCTAAATCATTACAACTGATATGTTATTACAACTCTTAAACTGAGATGCACATGCACAAATACCAGATGTTGTGGGATTTTTCTACAGTCGAAGGAAATAATCATGAAACTGAAAATCTTCACCCAATAAGCCAGATATGAGATACCCAATCTTTACCACATCGAATAAAAAATGCAAGAGGTGTTGAAAAATGAAACCCACAGAAGAATCCAAGAAAAGATAAAAATTTAATTATAAAAAATCCAGAAATGTATATTCAAGAATCATGAAAAAATAATAAGAAAAAGAAAAGAAGACTCACATGCAACACAGTAAAGGTAACCTCCCATGGATGAAACAAGTTGTCCCTGTACCCAGAAAGATTACATTCACTCTGAAACTCTTCATCCCACTCCACCAAAACGCCGCCGTTTGGCCCGTCAACCCTTTTCACACTCTCCTCTCTTGTGCAGTTCCTTTTCACCGTCCTTCTAAATGAACCCAACGAAATCTTGGGACCCTTCCACCTGATCTCCACTGAAAGCCCACTTTTATCCTTCTCTGCACCCTCAACTATCCAATCACAACCGCCATCAGCCTCAAGCCTCTGCACTTTAAGTTTCACTTCATATTTTCTTGAAATCAGAGGCGGCCACGGTCTCCACTTCATCATCTTCCCAACCATTTCGTTCCTAACTTCAAGAAATGGTAAAACATGAAGAGACCCAAAAAAAAAAAAAAAATAGAAAAGATTCCTTCTTTCTTCGTTCAAAAATGATTTTGTCTTCTGTCAAATGGGGTCGATAAAGAATGAGTTTAAAGTTAGTGAGAGAAAGAAACACGCATAGAAAAGAATATGCCGTTGTGTTTCTGGGTTTTAATTTTTCAAGATACAGATAATAATTCACATCACACCAATATATACGCAGAGAAAGAAGGAAAAAGATTGAAGAGAGGAAGTGATGGTGAAGTCACCTATGGTGGGGCGAAATGGGGTTTTGCATTTAACGTTTTGTGAACCGTGTTGCAATTCGCAAATGAAACGGCGTAAAAAGTAGGTAGTTGACTTGAGTTACTAGTATTTATTGTCAATGGAAATCTAGATTAATGTGAGTTGAGGTTTGGACAACCTTCATTGTTTTAAACTCTTTTTTGAACAAGATTCGAACCTGGTGATAAAAAACTCAGAATATCGTTTAAATCAGATTTTTTTCCCCCTAATCTTAGAGTCCGATTTCGACAATATTGTTTTACCTCCTCTTTAGATTCGAGATATCATTTAGACTTGATCAGATTGAGCTCCCGTCTGCCCCATTAAATTAAATTTCATTTTTTCCACTCTTATTTTCAATTACACAATATTTTTATAAAATGATATTATACGTAAATCGAAATTTTTCCTTCTTTTTCAACCTTAGTGATGATGCCATTGGTACCATCAATGATTATTGCATGCCGAAAACATTTCAAAATAATAATAATAATAAATAAATAATTGATGACAATATGTGCGTCATGCTCGAATAAGCATTTTGGACTGAATTACTTCGTGTTTGACTTGTAGAGGAAATAAGTTTTTAGACAAGATTTTTCAGTAATTATTAACAAAAAGAGCTTATTTTAGAAAAATGACTTCATGTTTGAATTGTATCGAACGAGCTTCTAGATAAGATTTTATGATGATTATTTTGAAGAAAAGATGATTTCAAAAATTACTTCTTGTTTGAATTTCATTTATGAAGTTTAGATAAGATATTTTCGATAATCTTATCGCTATGGATATTTTTTATTTTTTCAAAAAAAAGTTGTTTAAATCTCAAATATCCTGTGTTTATTAGGGTAGAAAAGTTGCTTAGCTTTTGCATATTTTATACACGTTTATGACATGTTGAAATATTGTATCGCATAGAAAAATTAATAAATATCATCGTGTGTTCGTATCCAATATAATGTCCAATTTGACATATGTAAAATTCAACATATTTAGTTGAAAAATACAGTTTAATTATTATAGAAGAGATGCATTTAAATTCTTCAATGTTTAATTCAACTTCAAAAGCGTGCTCAAGCATTTCAATTTTGAAAACTTATTACTATTATGATCCTTTAATTGCAAAGATGGAATTGAATTGAATTGAAAACGAATTTTAGGGAATTGAATTGTTTAGAAATTATTTTCCTGAAAATTGTAAATTATTGTGTTTGATTGGTATTATTTTTCACGTGAAAAATGTTGAAATAAAAGTATTTTTTGGTGTTTGTTTGGCTTTATTTTACATGAAAATTGTCAATTAAAGAGATAGGTTTTATTGGTATTGGCAATGAAATTTGTTTTCCTTGCCAACAAAAAAAAATTCAAGAAAATTATCTATCTTTTGGTGTTCGTTTGACTTTTTTTTATATAAAAATTATCAATTAAAGGAAAATATTTTTTTTACAATAATTCTTAAAATTTGTTTTTATTGCCAAAAAAAAAAAGTGAACAATAATCGGGAAAATCTGGTGGGAATTGATTTTCCCACAAAAGCAAGAAAATTGCACTTTCCAATAAAACTAAGAATCTAAATTCCATGGAAAACTAAACCCTATCAAACAATTAAAAATTGAAAAATGTAGGGTAAATTCTATTTTCCATGAAAAAAATTAACCAATCAAACATAGCCTTAATGTATCAAAGCATCTTAACCCTTGGGTGAAGTTAGAGGTTGTAGTGAGTCAATCCGTCTAGACACACTATCAAATTCGAGATTGTCTTGTATTCACAACTTAGGACTAATATTTATAAATAAATAAGAACTCGAACTTGCTAGAGGCTTGAATATGAATTCTACGTGAATTTGTTGTTGACTTGATACTAAAAGTCTGAAATATCTACTTTAATGTAATTAACTAAGAAAACAAAGATTGCTAAAAGTCCTATCTATGGTTACAGTGTTAACCTTATCAAATTTACACTCTATTTATATTTTATAATGATTATATTTAATGAATTTGTAAGTTTCAATACTCTTAGCCCTGGTTCTCATTGTTTTAAAACTTATTTTGGTCCAAACTCATTTTCAACTACATATTTTTAAAATAAAATATTTTACAAATGAATCCAAAATCTTTCATATTTTTTAAACACGTTCTCCAACAATTCACTATTACAAAACTTATTCAAGATCTTCTTATTTATATTGGACCATGCTGTGTGTACACGCGGCTTTACACCCCCCTCACATGGAGTATGTGAGGGGGGTGTAAAGCCGTGTGTACACCGTACACACGGCATTTTCCATGTATATAATAATAAATATTCTAAATATGGATATCAAAGAATATATTAAATGAAAAATGAGGGGAAAACAAATATTGAAAAAAATAAAGAAAGTTTATTGGAGTTTATAAAAAATGTATCCTTTAAAATTTAAAATAATCTTTATTATGATCAAGATACTCTTTAAAAATTAAAAGTCTATTAAAAATATTCTTATGATTGATTTCGGATGCTTGGAATTGTCATTTATGAAAATTTCATGTGTCTTCTATGAATTTCTCCACCTTTAAATACGATTTGAATTATTATATCAACGATTTTCTAATGTAGGTGCAATTTTGGCGATTCAGCTTACATCCTTATGAAATGGTTTGTAATAATCTGGTGTACACCCGCTCCATTTGATCAATCAAGTCCAATCACAGTACCTAGACAACGATTCTGAGTAATTATACATTTTTGCATTCAAATAAATCTTTGACTTCCCATGAAAACGTCACGCATACATGAGCCATCACTTGTTGACACTTTGTAGGAATTGGTTCAAATAATTGATCAAAAATTGAAAAATGAAAAGGTGTGATTACGTGTCAGCTTCAACCAAATATTCGGATTTGATCCAATGGTCAAATTACAAAAGTGAATAGACCAACTTATTTTACTCGTCGAGTAGATCGTTGTAATATATTTGAAATTTTGAAACCAGTTCCGGATGAATAAAAAATTGCGGACTGAAAAAAAATCAAGTGTCACAACTTTTCGAAAGGATGTATGTTTGGTCACACTACTTCATTTGCACCCTTTCTACATCTATAAATAAGATCCTATGGACATGATTTTGGGTACACCAATTACATTGAGCATTCATTCTCCTTTTGCAATTATTTCATTTCTAATTCCATAGCATTTTCATACATTTCCTTTGTAGGGAGGAAATTCTGTCAGAAGTTTGTTGGTGTCTTGTGGTTTGAAGTGCTACTACCACAAGTTGTGAATCCATTGTATTTTGGGAGACAATTGTCATTTACCGTGAGCACCGTAGAGGGGCAATTTGTCTTAAGGAAAGAGATAACATTTCGTTTTGGATTATTCTCTATTCCTACTCCTTCTTAATCATTGTTTTGCCTATCGTTATACCGAAACTCTGTCCAAATTTCCATTCATATATATTGTGTTTTGATCACGCTCTTACGGATTAAAATTGGTCAAATAAATATATTAAAAACCAACTTTTACATAGCCGTTTTTATAAGTCGTCTCCAACACACTTAACACGCAAACGCTACCGCATTCTCGTGAAAAATATGCACTCATGCCTCTAAAGTGCCCAATGCACCCTTTGTGACGTGCATAGACCTAGGATCTAGCTACCAATGGTGCATTGCACCACACTTGCAGCTAACCTTTAACATTTTGCCATAGTCTAAGGTGTAGTTTGGGGAGATGTTCACACTTACAACTTAAAAGAAAGTGGAATTACTTATAAAATAAGTTAACTTTTGATTCATTTTCTAACGCAAGGGGTAACTCCACTTTATAAATATAAAATCCTCACATAAATCTCTCCCTAAAGCTCACTTTGGAAAATATTATTTCAATTTACAAAAAATGTCGATATAGCCAACTTAATATATCATTATAATCTCCTCTTGACTTCATTTAGACATGAACGCACCAAAAAAGTATCTCAAAATTTGGTAAAATTTCATTTAATAGGCTTATAGAGGGTGTTTGAATAATTGTTGTGAACTTTTGTCAATGGAGCTTTTAGCAGTAAAGTATTTTTTCCAAAAATGATCATTAATAAAAAGTTGATAATTTGTTAGTCAATTAAAAAAAAAAAAGTGCTTAAATAGAATTTTTTGGTAGCATAACTATGAAGTGTTTTTTGTATAAATTTCATATATTTGTTTATTAAGTAAAGCTGATAAATTGATAAAAATTTAAAATGATAAATAATATTGAAAAATAAGATAAAAATATGTCATAAACCATCTCAAGATTTTGTGCATTGATATGCATTGAAAATATTTGAAAATTTGATAGTTTAATTAAATACAAATTTCAACTTCCTCTAAAACCTTAACTTATAGCTTTTTAATAGAGTACATGTTTTGGTTCGACTAAAAAATTTGACTGAAATTTAAGTCAAAGTTAATCATGAATTTTAATCACATATTACTTGAAGAGATTTGCTACATGTCTCTGTACACTCTATGGTACAAGTGAAATTTTCCTTTTTTGAAGCACGCAACTTTTTAAATACACGCTCCATTATTTTTTATCAAAATTATTAAAAAACTGATTTATATGTAAATCAGGGGCAAAATCTCAAAATTTGAGCTTCTTTGAAACCAATAACGGTTTTAGAAGTTGTTTTATTGTCAATATACACTTATTGATTTTAATTACTTACATATGAGTTTCAACCAGATCATTTGACTTAAAATTTAAGTCGAAGTTAATCATGAATTTTAATCCAAAGTTTCTTGGAACCCGCAAATTTCTCAAATAATATTACATTAACTTTTAGCAGAATCTATTAAAAAACTAATTTATATGTAAACCAGGGGCAAACCCCCAAAATTTGAACTTCTTTGAAACCAGTAACAGTTTTTAAAAGTTGTTTTATTGACAATATACACTTAATGATTATAATTAATCACTTTGAGTTTCAACCATCTCCTTTGAAATTCAATCAGTGATGCCAAATTAAATTTTTTTATGGCATTCAATCACTATTATTTGAGAGACCCAATT